ATTGCAATTGAAGTGAGAGGAGATATATTTATACTGCAGGAAAGCTAGAGAAATCAAATAAACGCCTGTGGAAATTCTGATAACTTGAAGCAGAAATGCTCAGATCTTTCTGGGAAGGATAAACAACAATCCACACAGGCTCAACACCTTCATCTCAGTAGGTGCAGATAGACATTCCAGTGGGTAAGGAGGGAGTTGAAGATGAAGGAGCTGAGGAGATTGCAGCTGCTGTCAAGGGTGAAGTGGAGGAAAGAACAAGATGTTAGTCCCCGAGTAATGGGCTGAGCAGCAGGACTTGAATTAAAACTTGTGTGGAAGGGCAGCTCAACTTGGTGATCAGCATCAATGTTCTCGTGTGAGGCTGGACCCGAAAAAGATTGGGAAGCAATTCAGTTTGTGTTATAAAATTACTGCTTTAATTATGATGAAAGTTCCCTGTAACTTATCTTTCCATTCGCAGTCCAACTGTGTTATTTGGCTTTGCATAGTAATAAAGGAAAACTACTGCAGGAACATCAAGATCTTCTGTCAGCTCCCTGTATTCTGTATTCTGTTAATGTGCCCAATTCTTCCTGTTATCTGTATTCTGTTAATGTGCCCAAACTAATTTGTAGGCAGTGTTTCACTGTTAAGTTACCACGTCAAACTCTGAATTGACTTTGAAAGTTTGAATACTTTCATTAAGTTGTCTGTCATATTCTACTGACAGAAAGTTCTGAAGTTACAGTCTGCTGTCTGTTCTCTGTGATTTTCATTGTAGGTATCAACTCATCAAATGTGTAAATGCCTTCTGGAAAAGTACTTACATACTTGATACAGTGTAGCTGAATCACAGCAAAGAGCCAGTATTACGACAAAAAAAGGAGTAACACAGATATTGCTCAGGTAGTAGGAGAAGTAAAAAAAAAACCAGTACCAGCAAATGCAGGAATTGTAAAAATAAGGGATGATGAAAAATCTTGGTTAAATTCACTCCCACACAGTATGTATGTCAAATGTACCCTTCCACACAATCACTTGATTTCTTTTCCCACTGAAGGGCCTACAAGTATTTGTCGCTCAGTCTGCTGGCTTCCATAGGTCTGCTATCTTTGCACTAATGATGCTGAGTGTTTGTGCTTTTGAATGTTTCTTACTCTTACAAGGCAGCCATATTTTTCCTTGAAGGTCCAGACTTACAAGCCGCAGCCTAAAAATGGTTTTCCTTCATCAGAGCACTTTTCAGGGTGGGATCTGAAAAGGGTTAAAAGAAGTCAATGCGTTGCAACATTTGATTAACACAGTCCAATCTTCCAACTGTTGTTCATCGTCTGCTTTTAAGAAATATATGTTCAAAGAAAGCTCTCAGAAATAATGAGTACTGAAATTATGTTAGAAACTTTAAAAATTTTACTTCAGCAGCTTCAACCACAAACACTGATATGCATTTCATTTCTATTTGTGAAAGGGCAAATTTTCATGTGGGTATGCAAGAATAAAATGCTCACATCTCAGCAGTCAAAGATAAGGTAAATCTCAAAGCAATGTTTTTTTGGCAACATAATGATCAACTTTTTTAAAAAACTTGTTTCTCTACTGCTGGGGAATGTCAGCTCACCTGGTTTAGAGTCCAGGCAGTCGTGAGACCATTTGTTACCATGCAGTATTAATGGGCAGTTGGACTTATTCCACTGTCAGTTGAAGCCAGCCTTAAATTCTAAAGAGCATAGGTAGTGAACACACACAAAAAGGAAAATCTCTGACAAAACTGGTCTTGTAGTATGTAGGCGAGAGACACTACCCTAGAAGGGAACAATTTTACAGGCAAATGTGAAGTAGTTTGTTGCATCAAAATTTTATTCAACATACCATGAAACTCTCCACTAGAATGGACAATGGTGCAACATATCATTCTATCGGAAAAGGGAGACTACAAACTTGCTGTAATTAAAGGTGACACAAAGCACCATCATAGCTAATTAGTTTTTCAAAGGGAAAGTTTGCATTTTGTTCAGGAAAAAACATATGACTGTTTCAGGGATGAGATGATTGTAATTAAACGCGTTTGAACTCATGTAAAGCAATAAGCAAATCATTATTCAGATCTTTGAGATTAACCAAGTGACTTTTTTCAGCCATTCACTGATAGAGTGCACTAAATGCAGTCAAATTTATGGGATTCTATTCTTAGTGTAACGAAATCCCATAAAGCTTTCCTATCAAGTCAAAAAGTCACAATCTTTTTGATTTATTATTTCTTCTTATCTGTCATGCTTTATTGGAGAGGAGAAAAAGTGATTTTATCCTGTTCTTTTTGAGAGGCACCATCTCCAAAGACTCCTGCTGAAATGTTAAGTTCTTTGAAGTTATTTTGTTTAATAACCATTGAAAACTTACAGGACTTTTGATATGCCTACAAAATGCTTTATATACATACCATGTAGCTCTGCCAGTGTTCTCTGTTCATCCCATACCAGAGAACGTTCACCATGGGATTAGGTATTGATTCAGTAGCTTATAGTCTAGAAATAGTTTGCTCTTGCCCAGGTAAGAATGTAATAAACCTTACTGTGATTTGAAGGCATAATTTAAGGTCAGACTAGTTAGTGCAGTAAATTGAAACACTTTCAAAACTTTATAGACAGAGCAATAATTAGGTCATTTTAGCACAGATTGTTTTTTTTCCCGTCTTACTTGGGTAAGGCCTACAAACAAGTCTAATCAGAATTGTTACTGCAGTTCCCAGCAGGTACTAGACTAGTACCCAGTCTAGGTAGAAAAGCAGAAGAGGTGCCACGTGCTATCCATGTTCAATGTATTTGCAAGCTCTGTGCATCTTCTCAAATATCCAGGTAGAGCAGGATTTTCAGAAGTGGTAATTTGATTCAATCTGTGTAGCTGATGTTTTTTTTAAAATTTTTGGTTTAACTGCTCAAAAGGAAAATATAGAAAATGTAGTCTAGATCACATTTAATTGCTATTCTGTTTTAATGAACTTCTTGTTAATTTTGTTTTTCATGAGTTGTCCAGAATTCAAGGAAAGTACGGAAAACAATCAGTAGTTTATGGATGTACAATTAAAATGCCAGAACTGTTATGTGAATTTGGGTTGAGTTTATCAGATCGCTTTTTTAGGGATAAAGTTCAACAAGAAATTCCTAAAAGAGTAGACGTGAGTGAAGCAGAGATCCAGTAGGGAATAGGAATAAATCAGCCCCCAGTTCTGTGGGGTGTCTGACTTCGTTCATATTCTCTGCCTCAGGAAATTTAAACCTAGTTTTCCTGTGTGCTATTCCATAGCTTAACTACTAGATTATATGTACTTCAGAGTGATACATGTGTATTACGTGTGGTTAGTACTATTTTAACTAAGTAAACATTTGTCAGCATTGATATGAAATGCAGTTTTCTTATGTTTTGAATGAATGTCATTATCTCCACGAAGAGTGTCATTTTTCTCACCATCTTTCAGTAAAAATGGGGAAAAAAATCAGGAAAGAATTACAGGAAATCCTACAAATAATTTTTTTAAAAGAACTTTACATAAAGATAGATTTATTACTAAATGACTTATTTTAACATAATGGTTTGGCTAAAATCATGTATTTAATAGACAGTATTTCATCATGAAATTTTAAATTTGGATCTTGGATAAGGACAGGAATAAATAGTAAGTTGCCAGGAATTCTATTCACAAACCACCTTATTTTGGTAGCTGTGATAATATTTCCTTTCCTTGAGGTCTTTTTTCTACAGCACATATCCAACTAGGATTTTTTAGGTTTCTGGTGAAAACTATTCATCGTTAAGGTATTTTCCACTGGTCTTCAAAATTTAAATATGTGTTTTACCAAACCTAAGTAAACACCACTAAATTAAACAAATTTTTTATGCCAGCTGGATATGCAATGCAAAGCTTTCATCATTTTTTTTCCCCTTTAAATGGTTTTTACTATCCCTTCACCCTCAATTGCATTAACAGAGCATTTTGATCATACCGCATCACAGACAGACTTGTATTGTTCTTTGCTTTTTTCCTGTTTGTAACCAGCAAATCCCACTATTGAAACTGTTGTGCTAATTTGTTTATGTCTCATGTTGGCATAATGACAACTAAACACATCATGGGCATGTACAAGCCAGAGCTTTGGAGTCTTGAAACAATAGTGGTCTTCTGACTGCCAAAGTCATCTTGCTCCCTAGAAACCTCATTTGCTAAGCTGTAATTTCAAGAGATTTGGGTTTTTGGACTGTTAGAGCAGAAGAGCTGATCTGCTCACTAAACAGAACAGCCCTTAAATGTGTTTCTATTTAATAAAAGATTGCATTTTTGTGTTTAAATATTTCTTGGCTTTTTGTGTTTTTACTACTGTCTACGTTATAGATAGAGTGGATATGCATTGTTGAAAGGGCCCAGAGAGAAAAAGTTAATAGAAGAGCCAATAACGCGTAACTGTTTAAATTATCAGCATCACTGTTGATTGAAGACAGTGGAAGAATGGCTATGTGGCTAAGGTACATGGCTAGAGCCTAGGAAATAAAAATGCTCTTGTTTCCTCTTCATCTGACTTGTATATGACACAGTTAGTTATTGCTTTTCTCTGCTTTCCAATTTTGCAAAATTGCCTTTCAGTGTCATTGAAGTGCCAGAAGGTAAATTAATGTGAAATATATTTTATCTTTGGATTGAAGATGGTAGGAAATGCAGTATCATGACTTCATCACAAAGTCAGCTTAAAATATGCAGAATATGAGGTGTCTGAAATCAGTATTCCAATTTATTTCATTTCATGTAGGTGTGAGGGTTAACTCTTAGAGGTACTGTTCTTTTTTTCTCTATATAAGATGTCATAGCTTGGGTGGATTAAAAAGATGTGTAGAAGTGAGAGAAATTAGATGTTATTTGTGTATTTTATGCTGAGTTTATGAAACATAGAAGACTAAAAGCAAGGCGATGGTATAAGAACCCTTCAGCAGAATGTGGTTGGTCTCCTGAGATTCTGTTTTGCCTTGCTTTACAGTTTGCCCAGCTGGTGTCTGTCTACAAAACTCTGGGTCCAGAGAAGTTCCCGTTAATTGAGCAAACGTTCTATCCAAACCACAAGGAAATGGTATGTACAGGTACCAGTACTGCTTTAGTTAACTGTCTGTTAAACAGTGACTGTAAACACACATGATCCATTTCTCATTTACTATCTATTTTAAAAGCTATTTTGGTAGCTGTCAGAGGGATGATATGTGGTGATCACTTGAAAGCATTGTGGTGGCTAAATGAAGATGTTAGAACTAACAAGCTAACATTTTTTCAACTAATCAGCCTCAGACTTCAAGAGATTAAATGGCTGTAAAAACACAGAACTATTAAAGTACAGGGGTTACTTTTATGTTTTGCTTCAAACTAATTCTTTAACATATGTTTGAAGAGTTCATTATTTATCTGGATGATCTGCCTACAACTGTAGAACTTTGAACATACCTAAAATTAGGGTGTTTGTGACTTACATGTTCATGTACCTGAGCTGACATTGTTTGATTTCCAGCCCTTTACACATAGAAAGGTGTTCATTAAAGTGACACTTGTGATCTTCACTTAACATTTTCCTAAAATAAAATTACCCTACAAATTTTCGATCTTTAGATGGAAGTAGTTTCCTATGTCCTCCAAGTTGTTTTTGAAGATAGATTGGAAGAGGGTGCATCAGTGTGACTGTTCTCTTGAAACTGGTCTGGCAGGATGTAAGCACAGTTTCCAACTTGCTGGTGAACGTGCAACTGTGATTATTTTTGTGCCTGCATATGCAGAATGCACATAACCTAAAGAAAACACATCTTACATTGGACACATATGTATTCTTTTCATGGTTTTCTAAACAGAAATTCTTTCCTGAGTGTATTCCTGATAAATGCATTAGTTAGCTGTTTATTTAAGGTCCTCAAGCTGTGATTGCTTCGTCCATTTTGATTAGGACTCTATCATCACAGATGGCACTTCAGAACTTACCCAGTTCTCCTCTCTAGTCCCTTTGGACTATTGACTCACAGATGTTACTCTTTTATTGTATAAGACACTGAGGAAAAGAACCATTGCTACACATATGTACTTAGGAAATCTGCTACACAGGAGTTTTGTGGAGTCAAGGGAGAATGGTTACTGATATGGAGCAGCAGATCTAATTCTGCATAGGCAATAATTTGGGAATTGAAAGATGTTTCTGTTGATGGATTTGTCAGGAAAAACAGTTTCATAAAATGTATATTTTTATGTCTTGGGGATATATTAGTAGTAGGTAGAGAAACAGAACCACCTCTTTTGTTTTGCAATATGTTTTCTTTCTTTAATGCTATACATTTTATGTCTCCTATTATTCTTAGAATGGCAAATTAATGCTTTTCTGTAATTTCCTGCACAAAAGTAATTGTTCTTCATTATTTTATCAGCTACAAGTCATTGTCCTATTGAAAAAACAGACCTTTTAAGGTATTTCTTAGTTTTACTAAGAAACTCTGAATGTAATGCCTCCTATTTAATTCAGTAGAAACTGCAACAGATACCAAAAGCACGATAACACTATTTGATAGAGGTAATTCACACTATTTTTAAACAACTAATTGAATTGAAATTTTGTAATCAGACACCAAGAAGAAGATTCATGCATTCATTTGACGTATTTTGCTTGTTTAACAGAGTATGAAAAACGTTGGGATGTTTTTTCCCTTTTCCTTCCCTTTGGGTAATTTTTTTCCTCTATGTTGCTTATTAATGTCTGCACTGATAAGTTATTTGTCTTTTATTCAAACTTTTGAATGCCCCTACTCTCCACATTTGAGTAAATTTTTTACATGTTTTTCTATGCAATGAATATTAATCTAGAAAAATTATTCTCTGCTTCGGCATTGCCTTGCTGTATGTCATTCAAATATGCTGTAATATATGATTATGCTGCAGATCATTTGTGTGGTTTTGCCTTCTGATGAAATTCTGGGAACTTTGTGACTTGAAAAATAATCAGGCAGCATCATATTAGATAGCATTTTTATTTGAATTTCTAGAATAAGTGGTAAAACAATTTTGATATCTTTAGTTTCTTAGTTAATAAATTGAAATAATATGCTATTTGAATTTTTATTTTTAACACTATTTGTGGCCTGCCTTGTTTGCATTTACTTTTATAGAATTTAATTTTTACTGTTTAACTTTTTGTAGTTCCTTTTGTGCTCGTTCATTCATGTCTTATCCCCCAAATCACAAGCTAGAGTTCCTTTCATCCACTTCAACCCACTGAGGGGTAAGGGGGAGAGCAGGGGAAAACTGTGGATCTGTGAATTGAGTTTTTGGCTGAGCTGCCAGTTGTGCTTCTGTTTTTTTTGTTTCTTTCATACTCTGGTGATCGTTTGTACTGAGTCTTCAGGCATCAGTAAAAGGTAAATAAACAAAGATGCCATTCTTTTGTGTAAAACTGGAGCTGCTAAAGAAACACTTCTTGAAACAGAAACATTCATCTCAAATTGATTAGACTATACAAAATGCTGTAAAGCTTTCTGAACTCATTGCTAGTTGAGTCATATTTACAGCCTTTCCCTCAGTAATTAGGTTCTCTTTATTTCACTACATTCCCACCTCCTATGTTATATCAGGAAAAAAATTCTTCACTCTAATTGCTGGGCATTTTAATAAAACTTAACTTAAAACATTGTGTCAAAAGAAAAAAAAAAACATCAATACTTAAGGATTTTATTTTTTCAGCATTCACCTGATCTTTTCTCTAATTATAAGTCACATGAGTCATTTTCAAATTAAAATAGAATGTTGTACCAGGCTGTATTTCTGCTCTGACCTTCCTAACAACATGTACCAATGCCACTGCTGTGAAAAATAAATCTGTATCTAGGAAAGTAACATCTAAAAATCAGCACTACTTAATGTTTTTCGTAATCTGTATCAGTTTTTCAGGGAAAATAAGAAATCATTTTGAGAGGGTTTGGTTTTCTTAAAATCTTTTCTTGAAATATTTATTGATATGAAAAAAAACCAACATCTTTTTTATCATCCATTATGGGAAGTGTGGCAAGATTTCAGTTCAGACAGAAATCAAACTGGACAGCCAGTAATTTTGAAATACTTCATATTGGATACTTTATGGCAGATCAAATATAAAACATTTTAAAAACTCATTATAACATACAATTCATGTTATAGCTTGTTCATAAATACCGAGGAAAACATTTATTTTTACAATGTCTACAAAGAAGACAATGAGAGTTTGGTTAGTTCAGTTTAAGGTCTACTTACTATAAAACTGAAAAAGAAATGGAACTATGTTTCATTTAAAAGCAGAAATTATCTGTTTTCTGCTGAGTGATATTCAAAATGCACCATTACATCAAAATACTTTAGGAAACAAATGCTATACTGTCCATGTGTGAAATATTAACTAGCCATGTGCTTGATTTGGACCTTGTATCATTATCGAGGTTCTTTTCCAGACTTGTCTATGAATTGTTTTGGCTTGACAGGAAGAATTTATGCCTGGTTTTTTTGTTGTTGTTTTTTTCTCTTTTTTTCAATTTGTCTGTGAACTGTTAATATAAATGCACAGCACTAGCAGCAATTAGCACTGCCAATGTTGTCTTTGCAATATCAGTCGGAAGAGGGGTGGCCTTCATATTTCCCTTAGGTAAGTAGTTGTGTGCACACGTGTGTCAGTGGCTGAAACTGCCCAACTGGTAATTTTTTGTTTGGCTTAGGCAAAACAGAAAACTAAATCGGCGTTGTATTTGGCAACACAAATGTATGATGTTTTAATTTAGGACTGTAAATAAAAATGACAGGCAACATTTATGTCCCTACTACGGGACATAGGCAACTCTCCCTCAAAGGAATAATGCTGAGTGTTCCTGTTGGTTTTGCAGTGTTTGCAGTTCTAAATTCCTATTTGAGTAATATGAGAGGGTAATCCTTAGGCAAAATTGGAATGATTTTCAAGAAACCCAGTAAAGAAAATTAGATTAAAACATAGGATGCATAACATGGATCATGGTTCTCATCCAGTTTCTAGAACACGAGCACTGCTTGAACAGCGGTCTAAACTTTGGCTCTGAATGACATAACTTCTGCAGTTTTACCACTGTGAATTGAGATGCTTTCGTAAACTTATGTATGTGTGAGAATGGCTACTAACTACAGCAATCAGTTCTTAATAGTTAAAGCCCCCCCAAAAATTGAAGGCAAACTGTTGTAACTCTAGGATAAGTTCACAAGTTGCCAAGCTCATTGTGACAGATTACAATGAACATTCATGAATGAAAAATCATTAATGTAAATTTAATTTATAATTAAATATGGTCAAATATTTGAGAGCTTTTTAGAAATCTCTTGCAGTGTAAGTTATTAAATATTTGTGCATTTACTTTCATGTGAGTTTCTGAAGCCAAGGCTTTAACAGTGCTGAAATAAATTGCTCTAGTCACATAATTAGAGAGGCACTATTAATTACTACAGCTGCAGTGATGATGGACGTGGTTTCTGTAAACGTGTAAGCAGTTTTCACCTGTTCTTATTTGTGTTGATTCCATACAATGCTGAAGCATTAGAACATCTGCCTTTACTTTCCTATGGACTAGCTACACCTTGTAGAATATTGAGTTGGATATTGGGATTTTGATTATTGAGTTTGTGTTTTAACTTAATTATCAGTGAATGTTACAACTCGGTAGTTAAAGAAACCTGTGACATAATTAACAAACAATGTGGAGCATAGATTGTTTTAATCACAAAAGTGTTCAACTTGTTTGAAAAGGTAAGGAGAAAACAAGGATTTTTGAATCTTTTATAGCAGATTGTTAAAATACTTGACATATACACTGTACAGTAATTCTTTTGTATCAGAAGACTTTCATATGGGAAAAAAATAGTTCTATAAAACATTCATTAGTTCATCAGAATGATTTGAAACAAAATATGGAGCTCTTTCAATCTGTAGGTTAGCAGAAATAGGGACAGATTTCTGACCATTCTTATGTTCTCATACATTCATATTGGTAAAAAAAAAGGAAACTTGTTATGCCTTATAAAACACAGAGCAGCATTCTCAGTTTGAGCCTCTCTGTACAA